TATTAGATCAATGGATATCTCCTGTTATTACTGGGGACAGACCACCTCCTAGTAATTCCTTCACTCTAACACCAGTTACTAATAACACTGCGGTAATGTTCGGAGGTGAAACTGATAATGGATTTAGTAATAAACTGTATATGATAAGTTTCACTAAGACATCAGTGGTGAGTTAATACTGTAGGATGGGTTTTGATTCTGAGATTCCTTTAATTGCAAATTATTTATTATTCTTACAGGATATATTAGAAGTACCTAATCCTGGAGGATCAGTACAATGGCCCAAGGGAAGATGGGGTCATTCCAGTGTACTGATTACCACTAGTTCAGGACCACACTTACTAGTGGTGGGTGGAGATCTTGTCTATGATGTATGGTTACTGGACATTAACAAAAGAAAATGGAAAGAACTGGTAAGTATTATATTATGATGCTTGATAATGAAACAAAGTGATTAACTAAATTTGTAACTCGTGAGGTTTGTAATGTACATGTACATATTATGATACTCAATGAAAACTACTGATGAATAATGCTGGTATTCAGTATGTGTGTGTGTGACTATTTTTAGTGTGAATGTGTGTTTGTGTCATTTTGTGTTTGTTTCTTTACCTACAATATGTGTCAATACACATGTGTCTGTATGTGTGTGTGTTAAGATGGATTCACAATTGATAGAGTGTCAATGCTGGAATTAAAATAAATTGTATTTTATATACATTGTGTACATTGTGTATGTACATACATGTATTTGTGTGTATGTGTGCATATGTTTTAATATGTGTATGTGTGTACTAACACGTACATCATGTGTACATGTAACATGTACATGTGTGTGTATGTGTGTGAGCAATTATGCATGCTTTACATGTAGCTTTATATGTGTATGCATGTATAGATGTACATGTATGTGTGTTAGTGTGTCATTAGTATGTGTATGTGTATGTGTGTACATGCAGACACTTAGTAAGTTCTTAATTGAGGACTCACATGATATAATAACAGACTCAGTTGTGTATACTTGTCTATTAATATATTGTGTATTATTAATTTTATTATGTGATCTTTGTGTTACATAAAACACACTGTGCAGACTATAAAACTGTCAGTTAGTTATTGTGTTTATTAACCAGATATCAAATCAATTAATACATCATACACAAATTAATTATTATCATTTTAATTTATAGATTAATCTACCAGACAATGTCACTAAGAGATACTGGCATTCTCTCTCAGTGTGGAGTGTGACCCCAACTACTAACTGGATAATTGAGTTTGGAGGAAAGAGAGATGTTTTTACAACAATAAGTGATACAGCAGTTATTGAACTCAGTAAGTACATGTAGACAGTAGTAGATACAATGTGTATTGAATATGTAATGATAATTAGTAATGATAATATTACAATAAAGTAAGTAATTCTTATGATGAATATTTAATGAGAGCATTTGACGTATACC